TATCCTCCTATAAAAGGGGTCTTTTTGTATTTCAAACTATTTAGCTCTCATCAGCTAGCCATACCCTTACTGGGATTCGAACCTGTGCTGTACTGCATCTTAGGCAGATGTATTAACCACTAAGCCACAGGCTGTCCTCCGTTATCAGCTGAGCCAGGGAGAAAGGTATATATTTAAAGTCACAACCCCTGGTATGCCCAAATATGGGAGGAAGATCACTACTTCCATTCCATGGTCTCTTGTGACGAGCCGAAGGACAGAGAATGGAAGTAGTGATCTTCCTCCCTTATTTGGGCATACCAGGGGTTGTGACTTTAAATATACCTTTCACCCTGGCTTGGCTGATAAGGAGTCGAGCCCTGTAGGATTGAAAACACTTTAGATGAGCGTCCCCAACCTTTCCGGTTCTGCAGACTGGCAGTGGCAACAGTGAGGGGAGAGGGGGGATGGTTTCATCCATGCACAAATGCAGCTTCACACGCATGCTTGCCACATGCATGGCCCGGTTCCTATGGGCCATGGCCCAGCACCTGGCCAGAGATTAGGGGTTAGGGAGCCAGCTCTAAATGATCTTATCAATTTAAACATGTTAAAATTAATCCATTCAAACCAGTTGAACTCAATAAGTTTTTCTATTACACCAACATGATTACAGTGGAAGTGGATGCCTTTATGCTAAACTGAATTCAATTTATGGTGTATGGAGTTTCATCCTTAATTCACACGATAAGGAGAGTCACTTGGATTAAGGTTTATTTATTTTAGTTAATTAATTGACCAGTAAAAATCTCAGAAGATAATTGGTTAATAGCTTTGATCTGTTGACAGTGTCTTATAGAATGCGTATTAATGACTGGATCCTCAGAGACCTCAGCATTCCCAATTAAGCTTTCAGTTTAGCTAATTTTAACAGTTTTAAGTAATTTTAAAAACTCATTCAATGCAATAACGTTGAAATGGGCTTCTGGCTGGATGCTCCAATAATCTTTGCTAGCTTTGGGGAAAGCATGGAATGCAGGAAGAGTTGCTGAAATCCCCAGTTCTTCTCATTGTTTGTATTTGCTGACTTAACTCAAATACAGATAAGTAGAAATTGTTTTGCAGTGCAGTAACAGAATTGAAGGTGTCTTAAGTCTGTGCTCTGTAGACTTTGGAAAAATAATGAGTGAAAAACTTCTTTGAATGCGGCAAGTTGTTTGTTTCCGTTTTGAAATGTGGGAGTGTACCATTTTTAACATGAGTGATCCAAAGTTATGTGTACCTTTGAGAAGTAAATAGCATTCAGTTCCATAGTCAAATTTCCAGGATTCTAGTTAAAATATGACCCACCCTGTTAAGTTGCTATATGGCTGTAAATTAATATGCAGACCTTGAAAGCAAACTGCTTTCTCCATCTGTAGCTAAAGTAATATTGAAGTCAAATAATAGTATGAGGGTACTGCATTCTAATGAGGCTATTAATTTTAATGACCTTTCTTTGCAAACATGTTTCTGGTAAATAATAAAAAATATCTTTTTTCAGTTAATTTGGTTTGCTGATTTATGTAACTATGTTTCTGAACCCCTGGGCAAACGCTTTCTACAGAATATCAGTACTGACTAGAAGCGTCTTTTGTGTTTCCACTCAGTCTGAAAACGATGAGCGGCAAGTGGTGTACGACCACATAGGACCAAATGTCTGCATGGGGGACCACAAGGTAACCTTACCTACTTCTACTGTGGACAGCCTGGTGCATCCATGGCAGGTTGGGGGGGGGGTTGAGATGGGCACCTGCGGGCAAATTGGATCTGGAAAGACACTCTGGGAGTCACCAGAATCCTGGTTACTCCTGCAGAATGTGGGCCTAGAGCTACAAGGAAGGCTGAGCAGGATTCTGGGCAGGCGTTTGTGCTGTTGTCCAGCCTTATTCATCAATTACCCGCAGACACATTTATTTTCATAAGAATTAATCTGCTTTAACTATTCACATAGCTTTTATGGAAAAAAATCAGGTAATATTGTCCTAACTGTGCAAACCACCTTTTTTTATTTTTTTCAAAACAGAAAATAAACCATGGGGGGAGGGGGGAATGACACAGTATATGGTATGGCTTTTTTAATGTTGTTGTTAATACAGTGTTAGAAACTAACTCATGGGAGGATTTTACAGACAGTGACGCTTTTATAGAAGACTGAAGGGTCTCATCTTCCCTCTTTCTTCCATTAAACGTTTATTCCTGTGAAATACAAGTTCTAGGCTGACATTTGATCAGAACTGTCACTGTAGAAGCAGTCTAGGGCTGTCGTGAAGAGCGAACCCTCATATAAAACCCAGGGAGCGAGTGGGGACTTATTTCAATACGATCTGGATGGAAAAGACTTGAGGGAACCTGTAGGGCGAAAGAACAGTAGGTGAGAGAGTTTTATGGAACAGTTAATAGAATAGAGAGATGAAGTTGGAAAGGGAGAAAGAAGAGGGTGAAGAAACACGATTAAAAACAACCTGCTGAAAAACTCTTCTCCCAGATCTGAAAAGGTTTGGTTTTTCTGGAGCATCTCGGAAAGCAGTAAAAATTGAGCTGCCTGCATCCTTTGGGTTGCCTCTTGACAAAAAAAACCCTTGGCAATTTTTGCCTAAAACTGTCCTGGGACAGAAGGCAGCTTTGCGTGCTTCAAAAGGCACCTTTTCATAAGATTTACAGGTATTTGAAAGAGAATTCTAGGGAGGCGAGGCTAGTCTAGGAGGGATCAGAATCCCAAAAGAAGGCAGCAGTTGCCAAGGAAACTACCTGAATATCCCGTGAAGTCACCAATAGTGGTCCTTAATTCAAAGGAAGACTTGATTATTGGAAAATTCTGGTTTAAACTACTAACACAATGATGTCTCCTCTGGTGACGTTAATCAGTCCGGGAATTTCTTTCCCTCACCTCAAAGGGTGGAGGCCAAACCAGAACTGGATCCAGGTTCAATAACTGGGCCCAGAGTTGGCCCACCACGGCCCTTGATTTCAGAGGGCCTGAGCTTAACCCCCTTGCCCTGAATCCTGACCCAACAGCAGGGCTGCAGGCGCCAACTGCCTCCTTGGGAAAAGTCACCAGGCGCCTCGGGAAGGCCCTTAGAAGCCTTCAAGTGTGCCTCCTATGGCGGCTTTACCATTTAACTTCCTTCTTTTTCCTCCGCAGCCCGTGTTCCTGTCCTTTCGAATAGCCGCTGGGGCAGGTAAACCTATTGCCAATATGCACAAGTGTTGTGTCGTGCAGTGACGTGGTGGTAAATATCACGTTAGATTTCTCTTCTCTGCTCTTCTCTGCCCTTCCCTCCCTTTGACGGTGGTCTGGTCTTTTCCTTTCGATGGTCCCTTTCCCCCTTTCTCACCCACCCACCCCCCTCTTTTTGTGGGGCGTGTTTGCTTTTCTCCTTCACTTTCATTTTTTTTTAATTTAAAAAAAACCCTTTTTGGTTTTGAAAAGAAAGCAATAGTTGTTCCGTCAATTCTACAACAGGAAAAAGATGCCTCCGACATGAGAAGATATTTCGGGAAAGTTCATTATAGCGAGGAGGAGGAGGAAGAGGAGGAGGAGGAGGAGGAGGAGGAAGCTTCAAACTCCCACCCATCGCTTAAATCGTGACAGCTCTAGCCGTCCATCCAAGTCCTGCGTGCCCTGTTCTTCTTTTATTATCACTGTTCTCCTTATTTTAGGCTGTTTATGCTCCACTTGCTTATTCCTGGCGTGGACACGAGTCCCCACCACCCCCAAAAATCTCTTATACCTCACTGTCTTGTATATTCTTGTGTCATCAAAAGTGGACTTCTTATTTTTATATGGCAATGCCTATAATATTATGCTACAGTCTGGTTGCCAAAACGTATCTACAAAAACAAAATTCCTCATATTAGTTTTTTCTTTTTTACAGTGTTTTGTGTCTTGGATTTCCCTGTGAGGTTTATGTTTTTAGTTGGTCAATGTGGAATGAGTGTGTGTGTATATATGCATATATATGTAGACACACCTTCCACATTTCCATCATCCCCCTTCTCTAGCTTAAAAGCCGGGTTGGGGTTTTATCTCTTGCCTTGTGTAGAAGTCCTGCTGTGTTATTGTTGTCCTTTGATCCTGTGATATTTGGGGGTGGGAAAGAGGATCCAAGTTCGTATTTTGTTTCGTTTTGTTGTCCTTTTTATAACTTGTTTTCTCATGTTATTTACTCTACTGCCATGTTCCATGGTTTCTGAATCACACAACAGCAGCTGCTGCTTTCTATACGTGTATATATTTATATATAGATTGTATGTGAGTGTGTATAGAGATACATATATATATATATATACACAGATATAGAGATAATTTATAATTACAAACCGTCTGTCTTTCCTGAGGCCAATAAGACTTTTCCAACAAGCCCATATAAATAATATCACCCTTGTCCGGCAGGAGATTCTGCCACGGGTTAGTCCATTCGGGATTAACTCGGGATTAACTTGCAAACCGAGGAAAGGGAGGCAGAGTTCGCGATGGGAGGAGGCGATGGGACGCTTCACACACCCCTTCTGAAACACGGTTCTTCTTCCGCGTGGAAAGCTTTCCAGGAGACCCGGAGATCCCCGCTGGGCGCGTGGCGGCTCCTCCCGGGTTCCTGCATCCAACTTACTTCGGAGCAAGCCCGCCCGGGCTCAGCGGCTCAGGAGGCCGAGCGGGAGCCCCGCAGACCGTCGTGCTGGTGCCCAGTTGCTCGGCCGAGGGGGGGGGGCTTCTCCCGTGGGAGGTGCGGCGGGGGGGGGAGGCTCCACGCTCCAGGGCTACAATCTCAGCTCCGCAGCAGCAGCTCAGCTGCCAAGCGGCTTCTTCGTGGAGAGCAGGGACGGGAATCCGGGGAGGAGGGGGACGGGGGGGGGCGGAGCAGCCCCTGGTCGGGGCGCACTTGTTCATTGGGACTAGGGGGGGGTCGGGAAAGCCGGAGCTTCCTATCGAGAGCTCCCCCCTGCCGGAGTACAGCATTAAAAGGTGATTAGCGAGTCTGTTGCAGAAACACGCGGGGAGCCTTATTGATTCCACGGAGAACACTAGCCGGCTCAGGGGACGGGCGGGGGGGGGAGTCGGAAGATGCCTTTGCAGAACAACTCAAGCTTTGCGGGGGAGGGGAGGGGAGGAGGGAGGGAGGAACGTCTCCTGTGTCCCTGATCCTACCCGGAGTGGGAGCCGTTGCACGCGGGTGGAAGGACGCGGAGCCGCCCAAGGCTTGGAGGGGCTTGTGTGCGTGTGTGTGTGTGTGGCGGGTTCACTGCGAAATGAGCATCCTGGTTCTCAAGCAATAAAAACATGATCCTGATTAAATGGGTGTCCGGCTTTTTCTGCGCGTCCCTTGTCTTCTCTTGGGGTAAAAAATAGCCATTTGTAAAAAGGGTATAAAAAACGTCATTTTAACCCCCTCGCCGGGCCTGCTTTCTCCACTGTGCAAAAGCCCCTCCTCCGCCTGCACCGATAGGAGAAACGTTGCAAGAGTTCAAGACCCAAACTCAGCTGCGCCCAAGGAAACCAGCTGTAGGATCGCCTGCGGGGTTTGTAAGGCGATGCGTGGCTTTACTCTTTTCACAATCCACCAACGTTACCCAGTAGCCTGGCTGCGGTGAAAAAAGGCACCCGATTTGCTAATCTTACGGCTAAAGTTGCCGATCGCTCCCAGGTTCTTCCTGCCAGACAGCCCCGTCAGAGCCCCGCTTTCAGCGGCATGAAAGACCGCGGGTGCCGTTGCGTTGGACTCCGTCCCGATCTTCACGCCCAACTCTGATCGAAAGCAATGCCCAATTTAGAGGGTTGCCCACCGGGGGAGGAGGGCTTCAATCTAAACGTTTTCAGCCTGCGGATTTCCCATTTAAGATACGGAGAAACTAAGAAAGGCCGCCAAGCTTATTAACTCCCCTTTAGGGGTTACTAGGGGCCATTTTCACTCAATATGCTGATTAGTTCAAGTTTAGCAAACTTTTGGCGCCTGTGGATTCTGCGCTGGGTCTTTACCAGATCTTGTCAAGCCGCGCAGTGCAAACCTTTCAGTGCAGGACTAACGAGTAAAGTCTCTTTCTGCGCCTTCCTTCTGCGGGGGCTTCGTGCCGTCATCGAAGGCAGGTGGAAGCCGCTGGTGGAAGCCGCGTGAAGCCAAAGGGGACTTGCGGGCCTCCTGACGGCTGTTGAAGTCAAACAGCATCGGGAATAATGAGAAACGAGCCAGATCCCTTTAGATCGCCTGATAGAGGTTGATCCCCAAAAGTTACCCCGTGCCCGAAACGCCCTTTTCCACCCGGCCTTGAGCGATCTTAGATGCGCTGCGGCTTTTGTCTCCGGTTTCCCCCGCAAGGACCTCCCGGCGTCCTCTTTAAAAATCGGTTTATATCCGTTGAATCGGTCGCCACCAGCCAGTTGAATTGATCAACAATGAAGGCGAGCCAGCCTAGTTTTGGGAAGAAAGTCGATGGGACAAGAACACAATTGCGGTGTTCTTCATTATTGGAGGCCAAGGAGAAGGTGCTGCTTCAAATGGATACAAAACCACCGTTTTACCTTTTGACTTGCGCTCCATTTCATTTCCTCCTTTTTTTTTCTTTCTCCCCCCCCCTCCCTCCTCCCTTCTCCACAAATTGTATTTGGGAATCAAAACCAGAGAAAAGGGGGGAGGGGAAATGTCTCCTACATCCCCCCCCCAGTGACCCCCCCCCTGCTAATCTGACCCTCCGATTCAGTCCTTGTTTCGTTTCTGGAAGCCTCTCAAGCATTTGTTTTTCGGAACTCATTATCTTACAGGCAGAACCGCAGGGAACCATCACTTTATCCTTATACACGGCGCCTTATGCGAACTCGGAAAGTCAACCGGGAGTCCAGCCCACTTGTCCCTGTTTTGCAGGCGGGAGCCATTGGGTGGAATTCGAAGACGTCCCGGGAAGGAAGGGAAAAAGCACTAGCGAAAGGCGTCTTCTAATAGGCGCCTATTATATGTAATTGTAATATACGATCCCGTGCCCCGCAGTTTCCAGAGAAAGTTCGCCTTGGGTTGAAGGGACGGGGCTGGCGGAGATTTCGCCCCAAGGAAGCCGAGGGCTTGACGCTCCCTTTAATCGCACCAATATGAAACTGCCGCCTTGGGCTGAGGGAACTTGCGGTTTCCCCCTTTCAGAAGAGGGGAACCTGCCCCCCCCCCCCCCGAGTGTCCTGGAACCGACTCTCGGGGCGCTCCAGCTATGAACGAAAAAGCCAAGCCAAAACTGGGCTTTCCGCCCAGCCGCCTCTAGATTTATTTATTATATTAGATCCCGAAATTAGCCCCCCATGTGGACTGGAGTCTTGGTGAGCCCGAGTAGTGGAAAGTGAAAGGGATTTCCTCCCAAGTCGGTTTTTGGAATGGCGAAGAAGCGGCCCCGCTTTCTGCCCAAAGGGGAAGCGACGAAGCCCCACCGTCGTTGTTAAGAGGGGAGAGCTAGAAAAAAGCCCCTCTCTCTCTTGGATTCTCCTCGGGAGTAAACGAAAGCTTGCCCCCAACCCTTTGGGAAACGGGGAAAAGAAAGGCTGGAGGGCAAGAGGCGGCCGGACACCAACGACTTCATGAGGACCACTAACTTGCCGGTTGATCAACGCAAACCAGGCCAAAGGGCTGAAAAGGCCCGATCTGTCCCGGTTTCCAAACGTGCTGAGTCTGGATTTGCGCGGCCTTTCTCTGGCTTACTGGTCGTCAGAATTGAGGCAGGAATGGGACGTGGCTGGCTTAAAGTCCCGTGTTTAACTTTCGCTTGTGTGTATCTTACAGGGGGGGTTCAGAGTTAAGGTCAAAACCAGGGCTCCCCACACTTGGCAACTTTCAGACTCGGGACTTCAACTCCCAGAATTCTCCTGCCAGCTCTGGGCGTTGAAGTCTTAAAGTTGCCAAGTTGGAAGACCTCTGGTCAAAAGAGTTACGATTGTCGCCGCGTCGGTGCGATTGAATCCCGCTGTTTTTAAGAGCTTTGCTCGCACCGTCACGACCGTCCATGTTTTTTAAGCCTTACTGTACCTTGCGAAAGGCCCCACCCCGTCCCCCCCGTTGACGTTTGGCTAATCGTTACGTGCGAGCGAGGCTATTGCAGCCTCTGACACGTCAAGATCTTGGCTAAAAGCCCCGCCTCCTTGGCTTCACAGGGTCTTTGGACCCAGGCACGGATTGCCGCCTTACAGAGAAGCGAACGCCGAGCTGCCTTTTAAAGCAAATAAAAAATTGCTCTCCATTTTGAAGGAAGGGTGAATAGCTGCCTTCAGCACCGCTGGTCCCTCTCTGCTTTGGGAGAAATGGCCCGAGCGGGAGAAAAACGCCCACGGGCTGGCAAAGGGGGTGTGTGGGCATGGCTCTCCTCCAGGGCCGTTGTTGCAAAATCCAAAGTCCCATCAATCTTGGCCACCCTGAGAGTTGATACAGAGGCAGCCCGCCCACCCCCCTGCAGTCCCCACCATCGACGTCAAGGCGACCGGGAAAGAGGGGAGTTGCAGTCCAGCAGCCCCTGACAGGCGAGAGGACACAAGCTGCACCGCCAGGGCAGCTGAGGGAGTTATTAAGTGATAGAACGAGACTAATACGGGCCTCCTCACCTACCTATGGGCAATAATAAGTCAATAAGGTTATTGTTGTACTGCAGTGAGGCCTACTAGGACCAAAACAGGACGCCGCCGGGGGTGGGGGTGGGTCGCGTGCCCATAAAGCAGCGGTGTCCAAACTTGGCGACTTTAAGACTCGGGGACTTCAACTCCCAGAATTCCCCAGCCAGCATGGAATTCCAATGAATGAAGTCCGCAAGTCTTAACCTGCTATAAAGATTATGTCAAACAAGGCTGCAAGGCGGTTTTGTTATATGCGCAAAGTATAGAGTATGAAGTAAATGTCCAATATTGTTTTTCTTTTTAAAAATTTGATTTTGTAAACAAAATTTTTTTTTTAACCCCTTTGAGCTCCATGGGCTTCTCATCCAGGAAGCTTCTGAAAAAAGTACCCTGGGGACAACCGCGAGCGGGACGACTGAGCATCTCCTCCGCGGAGACTTTGCAGCAACTAGGTGTGCTTCGAAAGGGGCTCGGTCCAAATTAACGCGCCCCCATCGCTGCTTGCAGTGTCTTCGCTCTCCCACGCCCACCCAGCCCTATAAGCCTCCCCCCCGCCAAGGATCATCGCCGTCCTGCGATTGGGTGGCTTTGGGATGCTCGGAGTGATCTCAGCCGGAGGAGGCAGCGGGTCCCAAGGCGCCTCTTATGCCCGCCCCCCGCGTAAGCCCAGGCAGGAGGGGGGGGGAGGCTCTTTCTGGAAGAGAGACGGTGTCAATGGCACCGCTGGCCCTTAAAGTCAGCCTTTGTCATCCAGAGGAGAGACCCGCATTAGAACAGCTGGACGACGGCAGGAAGAATCTCTTCTGCGCCTTT